GTACCCATGATGACGACCTGTGAGACAATGCAAGGCTGAATTCTATCAACTTCTAGTCAGCATTTCAGACTTTACAAGCATGGATCTGGCACAGTTCAAAGGATATTTCTGACGGGCTGTTGCCGTTTCATTGCAAATGTGTGGTTCAACCTAAGCTAAAAATTTATCGTGGCCATCACCGACATTGCGAAGGACAAGAAGTAGCGTTAGATGGTAAACTGGATTAGAGGCACAGAAATAACGAAAAGCTTCACAATATTCAATAGGACAAGGCATTAGAGACAGACTGCTGATTTTCAAAAAAGTTGCCATCATCTGCACCATGCAGCACTATGGCACAGTAAGCAAGATGTTGGCTTCGAACTCCGCAAATTCCGGGTTCGATCATGGAGTACGGCAAGCTTTGTCTTAATAACGGATTCCCCTGAACAAAAGATTTATCACACGCTGTTTTAAACCAGGGTTGTTCAGCCGGTATAACTCCGGCATAAGTTTCCGGGTTCGAGCCCCAGTCAGGTCGCTCACCTTCATTCCTTCTGAGGTTGATCAATGAGTACCACTCTACGTGAAGGAAACGCGAGTCTACACACTATGTTTCCGCGTAGCTGCTGTCGATTCTGTCTTTAAAATAAGGTACTTCTGACTGATGGCATGCAAATGGAGATCAGCGCTCCATCATTAACTTCATGAAAAAAAGGCCAGAAATGGTTGCATCATGAAAGTGTAAGGAAGACCGACATTCCAACGGTTACAAACTTTTCTTTTGTCCCTCTTTATAGTATTTTAAGAAGTTTGTTAATTAGGATTGAATTTAAAATATCATGTCAGATCTCCGTCAAGGATTTATGACTTTAACGTTATTCTTCAATAACGACCATACATAGTGTGATAATCAGAGCAGGTGTAAACCAAATTTTTCATGTTTACTGCCATATCACCGAGAAACTTGGATGATTGTCATTGTCATTTGTGATCTTCTCGCATACATCTCAGCAAATAATTTTGAACTTGTAAAGCAGTAAATAACATATATGACTTACTTGTGCCAGACTTTCTTTTAACCAGCTTGGATTATTCTCCTCCTCTGAATCGATATCTAGTTCGGCACTTAGGATCGGCATGCAAGTAGTGCTGTGGTGGTACGGTCTAGAAATTCACCCTGAATGCTAAGTCAAATCAAACCCTATCATACAGTACCTATTATGAGTCAGAGATTGCATGGTGTCGGTATCTTCTGATTTAATGGTTGCCTTGTTTTCCGCTTCGGTGAATTCGTCCAAGCTGTGGGTCAGAAGTTTCCCGGATCTAAGCAAAACAATTTGCCATGCATTTTTGAGAGTGTGTGGATGAGGGTGGCGAAGTTCAACGAGCAGTCGAATCAGCCTGAGCCTGGGGCAAGGTGTTATGCAAATGTTGGTATGTATGAATGAATGACATCTGCGATTCATCTGTGCAGTGAGTGTCATGACCACAGCGCTGAAAAACATGCACATGCAGCATAGCGCACTGAGCACACGCGTTGGCCACACAACAGCGCGGCAATCGTTCATTGGAAACGATGGAGCAATGCGACGACCGCCTGTTAAACAATTAAGACAGTAAAAATATGAGATCCATGACGAACCATGTAAGTTTGACCCTCGTAGCTAGAAACACCACTCATCCGACAGGTAAAACTGTTTCACTTCTTGCCTTAGTCCATTGTTTATATCAGTGACAGCGAACTTCGTTTAGAAAAACTGTATATTTGCTAATTGTAGAACGACCGAAAGCTACAAAGTAATAAAGTTTCATAAAATTCTTTAATCGAATAACGCAACTTTCAAGTTCCAGACTGAACATGCCAATGAGCATGGAATAGCTAAATTGCTATAGCTGTCCAAGTTAATTTTAACTGCATTAAAATGTAGTCTTTGATCGCTGATGGTGTTCAACTTCGCCCTGTGAACTCACTGAGAGCTGACTGTAGTCGACCCGAGGACAAGCTGTAGTCATCGTTTGATGGAAAATCATGCACAGATCTCCTGCCTTCGCTGTGACAGTACCCCTTATTACAAACAGACCTTTCCCATTGGCCGCTTTTACACTTTTTGCAAAGCCAACTAGACCAATCGACGACGCCACATCAAAACCGCCAAGGTAAGAGAGAAGCAGACTAAAAGGCTTCATGCGGTGCGCAATGAGTAATGCTTGTTACTCTACTCACACTCCTACAGAGAGAGGTGCAGACTCTGCGAAATAATGTGCTGGTCGTATCTCTGTACGATGGATAATCGAACATTGCCAACGAAGTCACAGGTACGGAATCAAATTTGTGGGTGCCGTTAATTTAATCCCTGTCCGGCAGTGCAGGAAGTTGCGCGCAACTTCGGAATCCAAGAGCAGACCGTCATGTGCAAGAAAACCGACGGGGAGGTCTAATATAATTGTGAAATTCAAGAGACAAATTTCTGATAGGCTCAAAGTCGGATAGATGCACCTCCTGGATGCAACATTTTCTTTTATATATGTTTGTCAGCAGTAGCAGCGGATCAGATTCGACGATATGCATCTGGAAAGAAAGCCTAATGCTGGAACAGAAGCGAAAGACCGCGTTCGATAAACCATCTTGCTCAATTATATTACTCGGATAACATAATCATATTCAGTGACAGAGAAACAGGGCTTTGTTCGCAAACGAATGTGATATGCTAGCAGTGAAGGCGGGTCTTCAACTGAAAAAACTCTAAAAAAGAAAGTGGAGGAACTTAGCAGGAACGGGCAAAAGAAAAGTATCACGAAAAATTCATAATTCAAGGATCCTGCTACCTGAGTACATCTGCGTCATCATGTCGAATGACGGCAATTGGTGCACGAATTGCGCAGAAATTCAACACTTCTATAAGTCTATTCAAAATGGACGAAACGGAGGAAACACCTGCTACACCATAGGATTAACTTTAAATCACTGCAGTCATGCTTGCTTTGACGCATGTAAAGGAAACGGCTGTAATTGGGGGGAGCGTAGACACACTGAATGAGCAGTGTTCCACAGTCCTAATTATGAATCGAGCAGAGAATATATGAACATATCTGAAAATGACTACAATAAATCATGGCAGTCAAGTTGGCGGGCATATATGAGGAACTCAGAAATCACAGGGGTGATTAGCGTCGCTCAGACGTTTTCCAGGAGTCAACTATGATAGCTATAACTATAACTATAACTACTTTGTTAAATGTAAAATCAGAGACCTGACACCGTGTTAAGATGTTAAGACAGGCTCATTTCCTTCGTCGGGACAAAAATGTGTCAGTCTTTCAGGGTCGAGCTGCATGCATATCTTGAATGCTTAACAGTCTACAATTCAGCAATGTACTTACAAATGTTGCTACGACAAGAGCATGCATACGAACTCATTCGAGCAGCATACGTTCTCTGCTTAATAAATGCTGCGTAGTAGGCGCAGAATAAATCGGTGAACAACTGAGAATGGGCACCGCCAAAATAATCGAACGGCAAGCAAAAGCACTGTGATATTAAACCGTACTTTCGATGCAGCAACATTGCATTCACGGCTGCCTTCGATGGTACAGCTTTTCTTCCATGCCGATTCTTTACCTTTGAAGGAAGGATTTCGAAATGTCCGTCATACTGTGCATTTGGTTTTACGGCAATGGTGAATCGGCCATTGTTGACCTTAACGTAGAACACATCAAAAACGGAAAACGATCAACTGTGCACTGTACCTTCAAACTGAACAACAGACGAGAATGCGTCAGTCTCAAATGCTTCAGCAGGCAATACAAGTCAGGACACCACACTTTGCACAGAGGACAGCGGGAATAATCCATGCACTGTGTGGTTAATTGATGGGCATGCCATCCCTGTCCACAAATGAAATCGTAAAATAGACGAGCAGGTACCGTTGACGGTTTTGAAGGTTTTCGTTTCGGTTTGTGACTGAACCAATTGATGAGTTGAATATTATTCCATTTCAATATGCTTGAGCCCATGGATTTGCGAGGTGACTCGGACCAGTTCCACGTTAATCGAATCTTTATCTTAGGCAAATGAATGGCTTCTTCTTCAGACTTAAACTAGTATGTTTAGAAAATAGCAACTCCATTTTACCGGCAGCTACTGCTGTCATAAGCTAAGCACAGAAACTGGAGAAAAAAGAGAAAGGATGGGGAAATCTGATGAGGAGAAAGAAAATGAGAAAATGTAGGGAAAAAACAACTTAACTAAAAACGGAAAAGGAAAACGAAAAAGAAAGGAGAGGAAAAGTGAGAGGACAAATAAAACGAACAATTAAAAGATTAAGAAATTTACAAACAGGTGAACCAAGAGAAAAAATAGAGAAGAACAAGTGAAGGAGGCAAAGATGCCACAAACGAGAAAAAGGGAGAAAAAGTCATGAAAACTGGAAACAGAAAGAAAAATAAGATGAAGAAAAAAGCGCAGGAAGATGAATCCACGCATTACTCGAGACCTCGACAGTTTGCCTAAGTCGACAAGGAGAAACCTGTGATTCACAAGGGGTTGCAGAAGGATCTGCTTGTTACCTGCACTATGCATCATATACATATCGCGATATCGCCCGTCTAACGCTACAACATTATACGCTCGATATTGCTTCATTGGATTCAGTCAGTCCAGATCTGAATCATTGCGTTTCCTCGTCTACATTGAAGAGGTGAAAGACTGGATAAGCGAGAGTGGTGCAAATTTAATCGAACGGAATGTGTGGACTGTACAGCAAGACCTCAAGTACAGCTTGTACAGCTCGATAGGCCTTACCAACTTGTCTTAGCAACTGTACAACTCTGCAGCAACTTGCCTGGAAAAGACTCCGCCGCAACATACTTGAAGTCGATTGTGAATCAGGACCGTGGTAGAGAACGACATATTAATACAATGGTCGGCAAAGTCTGTAGATCAATTTCGGTGTTGTGCAGACGGAGTAGGTTATGCGTTGGTTCAGAAGTGCTGAAAGATTTCACCAAATTCTGCATTTTACCGTTCTTCTTCTACGCAGCACCGGTCTACTTCTACGTTCTCACTGAGGAGAAAAAACTAGCTCGCATGCAAAGCCTTTTGGAACTGCTTGGCCTACTTACTCCCTTACTGCGGCGCTAACCAGTTTGGGTCAGTCGTAACAAGATGCTTGATAAAGATAACAGTTGCTTTAGGCAGTTCTATCCTAACTGATTCAACTCACCCGATGTAGCAATATCTCTAGCAGTGCCTTTGAAGTGGCACAGTACAAGATCCTCATATGTTCTTTGCAGGTATTGGACTGAGGCTTATCAAATATTAGTCTTTCTGTTCACTGTCCGATGTGAGTTCGACCCAAAGA